ACGTCCCCCTTCCCTGATACTTCAAGGTTCCTCCTCTTCCCCAGGGGCCAAGCTGCCATGTATATGCAGGCCATGACAGTCTTGACTTTGGTGGCCCTGAAATGAACAAAAGAGTTTCATACGTTATCACTATGTCATGTGATTTTGACGTCTACATAAACCTAATGCATAGCATATCATCTCAGTGGGACTGGCCAGAAGTGGCCTCAGAGTCTGGTGGACACATGAAAACACCACACTGCTAGCATGTGAGTCTTGTGTTTCTCTTTTTAATTTTGTATTCACTTTTTAAAAAATTTTGTGTGTGAGTGTATTGCCTGCACGTATAGAAGTGCACAGATGTCATGCAATGCCCACGGAGCTCAGACAATGGTGTCTCATCCCCTGGAACCGGAGTTACAGATGGTTGTTAGCTGCCGTGTAGGTGCTGAAAATTGAACCCTCTGCAAGAGCAGCTAGTGCTCTCAACCAGTGAGCTCTCTCTCCAGCCCCAACCATTGTGTTTCTAATATACATGCTACATGTCCAATTCTGATTGAGAGTATGCTCAAAAAATATTTCTTATAATTTTAAGTACAAATAATGATGACTTAACCTCCCCACCTTCTCCTCAAGGTGTTGCAGACCAGACCTCGTACCTTCCCACAGTTACTACAGAGCGTTCTTTTTACAACAGTTCTTCCCCAGGCAAGTCAGTCCGTCCCATAGTCTGGGATCAGAAAGATGCAGGTTTCTCAGAGTAAAGTTTTCACGAGGTAGAAAAGCATGCTGTTTTATTTCAAAAAAGAAGGTCTGCTTCCTTCGGGGCTAGACTGTGAGTGTGGTTTGCTTCGGTGAGGATTAGCACATCCCCCAAACTTGATGGTCTAAAAGTGCAAGGAGAGCCTGTCATCCACATGTACGTGAACTCGCCTTTGAAGGGTCACCAGCCACAGGTGATACGAAGGGGCATATCAGCTCTGTAACAGTAAACAGTCTGTTCTCAGTTCAAAGAATCCCTTTGAAATGCACACTAAGGAAATATCCAATCACTCTAGAGATAAGGGCCAGATGAAACCAAAACTGCCCTATAAATAGATGTCCAGCAGCCTGGAGCAGTTTCATTATAAACAGGTCAACTCAGCCTGGAGTCCATCAGTGGCACCTGCAACATGGTTTCTCTTAGCAAGCTTTTTATTTTAAAATGTCATAAACAGAAGCAAACACCTAGAAAACCATATTAAAGTAATTACACAGTTGGAAAAGTCTACTGGTATCCGTTACTCTAAAAATCTTCCAGGTGGAAAGCAGTACTTCCTTCCACACTGGGTGGCAGAGGTGTGGGTAATCAGTGAAGGACTGGTTGATCCATTAAGGAAGTGTGTGCTGAGCTGGAAAATGAGGATCAAACGCCACACAGCCCTTTCCCCCGCAGCCAGGACTCCTGCAACTGGCCGACGACGGAGGCAGGTTCATAGAGAATCACAGAACAGATGCCTGATCTATCACTTGCTTTGCTGTAACAATACACCTAGCTCATGGTCCGAGGGATTCAGTCCATCATGGTGGAAGCTCACAACAGCAGAGGCATGAAGCTGTCCCAGTTAGAAAGCAGACAGGTAGGTGATCAGCTTGCTTTCCCCTGTTTAGCCCATGAGGACAGGCCGCCCACTCAGGGTGGGTCTTCCCTCCTCAGCTAAACCTCTCTAGGAATGCCCTGGCAGATGGGATGTCGCCTAGCTTGATTCTAAATTGTCCAGCTGACAAGTGAGACCAACTACTGCAGCTGGTGTCTAACACAGCAGGTCTATGAAGCCACAGAATGGGCTGGACTTGGAGATCAGCCAGAGACCCATCGATAGCCAGAGTCCCACTGTCTTCAAACTCCTGAGAACCAAAAGAGGAGCAGGGTGTTAATGCTCTGTTAGAACTGGAGAAGGAGGAGGGCATTACTATTCTGCTAGAGTTTTAGTCTGAGTATGTTCTGGAGACGAAGGGTTGGGGGACATTGCCCAATGTTAATGGATCTAATGCTACTGAACTTACCCTCAAACATGATAAAAATGGTAAGCTATATGTTATATAAATTTTACCACAATGTTTAAGTAACCTAACAACCAACCAATGAAAGGCCTAACACCCAAACTGAGGTCCATGAGAAAGTGTCATGGACACGCTGACCATCCCCAGCTTCAGACTGTAAGACAACAAGAACTTCCACAGTCTTCCAAGTCACACCTCCACACCACACTCTCTGTGGGGACTGAGGCAAACATAAGATTCTGCCTGACTCCCTGGCTACATGCTACTTTGGGGAGAAAAAAAAAAAAAAAATCAAGTTTACTGTCTATTCAATTTATACACTATTCTCTTTTAGAAAGAAAATTGGGGGTATGGATCTAGGTTTGTAGAATTATGAGAAACAATCAGTACAATCCTCTAGGAAAGAGCTTTATCTGTACGACGCTGGGAGATTATATTTGAAGCGTATGTGTGTGTATGTGTGTACGCGTGTGTGCATGTGCATGTATGTATATATTACCATGATTAATGCCCGTCTCTTCTGCACACAGCTCTCATGTTGTTATTCTCTTTCTGGCATCTTATTTTAAGGGACATTAATGTCCCTAGAGAGAAATGAGAGGCAGATTAGAAACAACACAACCTCCCACCTTAAAGATGAATCTTAGCACCAAAAAAAAAGCAGGGCTGGAGAGATGGTTCAAATCCCAGCACCCACGTGGCAGCTAACAACTGTTCTGTAACTCTAGTTCCAGGGGATCTGGCAATTCTTCTGTCCTGCAAGGGCATTGCACAACACGGGTGCACTTACCCACATGCAGGCAATACATGCATACACATAAAATAAAAATAATAAATAAAAAAACCCCATCACTTGCTAGGGTCTGACTGCTTTATAAGGCAGTTCAGTCAAAAACCCTAAATACTAATGTGAACTCAATAAAAGACAGTTTCTTGCATTGTTAAAATTTAGAACAACTAACTATAAGAGAAATAAGCTGTAACCAGAACTCTGCAGTTCTAGAAGCAGGATAAACCACCGGATGCTGCACACATGGGACACAGCCAGTCCAAAGCAGCCTCTCCCCTCTGGTCCCTAAAATACAATGCAAATGAGTAAGAAGTTGTGGTGTGACTGAATGATGACCTTGCCTGGCCACCTGCATTCTTCACATAGCAACAGCCACCGTCCAATCAAAGTGCCTACAAGCTGCAACAGCATCTTCACCCAACGACCATGGAAGACAAGCATGAAAAAGTAGGGGAGAAGGATAAAGGGTTCCCAGACATGTGACCTTTTTTTTGAATTTTTTATCACAAAATATGTATGAGTGTATTGTCTGCATGTACATAAGTGCACGTCGGTCGTTCAATGCCCATGAAGGTCAAAAACCCATAAGATTCCCTGGAACTGGAGTTACAGACAGTTGTCAGCCACCATGCGGGTGCTAGGAATTGAACCTGGGTCCTCCACAAGAGTAACCAGTACTCTTCAGTACTGAGCCATCTCTCTAGCCCTAGATAGATGATCTTAACACTAAAGTTTCCATGCACCAACCCTTCTAGAACCATCTATATAGAGAGGGAGGAATGTAGGAAATTTTTTATAAGTCTCAAGTATCTTCTTATAAAATACCCACCAATGTGAATGAACACCACCTGTTTGTGATGCTGGTGGACAGAAAATTTCTTTCAAACTTATCTTGTGAAACCCTCCTCTGTGGACCCCTGCCCCTCTTTAGGAATAATGGCTCTTTCTCGCTTCTATAAACTGCTTGATTGCTAGGCTGAGAGGACAAACTGCACTGACCCCATTTTGACTAGTTGCTTCAGGCAAGCCTGGACCCCCCACCCCAGGAGGCTATAGATCAAGCAGGCCCAGGCATATAGCAGCCTTATAAGGTAAGAACAGAGACTTCTGGCCTCACAGATAACAGTCAGCACATTCCATAGCTCTGAGGGTAGCACCGCCAATGAGAAACCCCAGGACTGCATCCCTTGTAACCAATCAATTCACAAGTATGTTGGCGCGCGCAGGCTCCTCGGACCAATCAAGACGTGACTCTGTTATTCCCCTCCTCCCTTGGTCTACCTTGGTCTAAAACCTATAAAAGCCTTCCTCCCCCTGCAATAGGGGCTCTCAGCACAGATCCATTGCGTTGGTGAGGTCTGAGAGCCCAAGCTTAAGCCCGAATAAAGACTCTTTGCTCTTCTTGCATGCCCTCTGGATTCCGTGGTTATTCTTGGGGGTCCGTTCTCTGGGCACAACAATCTAAGCGCAAGTTAATAAAGATGCCCTCAAGATCGTTTTATACCTACTCTCTGTCTTGGACACACTGTGTGAAGTAATGAAAACTTAGATTTTTATTTATTCTTAAATTCCTATGAATAACACACGAACTATCTCCCATGGGGAAAAATTTACTTGTACTTCACCAGTAAACGCTGAACTAAAAAAAAAGCAGGAAAGAGAATACATTTAAAATGGAGTAATCAAGCGTGCTGTGTGCTTTGTGGAGCAGCCTCTGTGTATGGTTAGTGAACAGTGGTAAGTTCCAATGGCGACTGCTCTGATCAGTAAGCCATTTACCATTAACGCATGGCTATGTAACAGGAAGCTGTCCCTCATGAAGACCTCTCCCTCGTATCCGTATCCGTTTAGCGCAAAAGCCCCACTTAACACCTGTTGAGAAGTTCCTATTCTTTGCAGATTCAACAGTAAAGAAGAAAGAAATCCCAGTTGGTGTTTAGCCCCATGTTTCCACAACTCTCATGAAGCCTCACCTGTGCTGGGGTTCAGCTTCTTACCTTTTCTGAGCAGATGGGCTCCAGCACGCTGGTGTACAGGATTGGCTTAGCTGCCATTGTTAGCTGCCATTTTAAAACCACAGAACTCAGGCTATAAGCTAATTGGACATGCAAAGCAAAGCATTCTATCAATCAATGTTGCCTTTCTTAGAGGAAGGTGTATAGGGGAGAGGGGAGAAGAGACCACTTACCTGCATCAGCTTTCGGGAGAGCTCATTGGTGAGAAACTCTTCCTCCTTTTCATAATTCACAGCAAGAGTTTCTTTCTCCTTCTGCAAGGCCTGAATTTTCTTGAATAAAGTGTTGCTGATGAATTCTTCTTCCTGCTCCGCCCGCGCTTGCTTTTAAAGAGAAAAGAACAAAACAAAAACAGGAATTTACTAATTAAAATACTTTATTTCCAGAGGGAAGGCCTATTTTAATGGCCTTCTATTTTTAACTGAACCACCATACCCCAAATTACAAAACAGAAGAATGCAGCAGCAACCCTAACAGTAAATATTACTATGGCCTTCAAGGGCCTCCTGGGACTGACTGTGTGCCTTCTTAAAGTGATAGGTCAAACTATCAAAGCGAGCTGGGTATGGAGGTGCACATCTTTCATTCCAGCACTTAGAATGCAGAGGCAGGTGGATCTCTTGAGTTCCAGGCCAGCCTGGGCTACACAGAGAGAACCTGTCCAAAAAAATAAAAAATAAACCATCAAAGTGGCAAGATAGCTCAGCGGGTAAAGGTGCTGCCACTGAGTACAATCCCGGGATTCACATAGTGGAAGGAAAGAACCAAGTCCGGTAAGTTGTCTTCTGACCTTGACATGCACACTGCGACATGCAAATGTGTGAGTGCACACACACACACACACACACACACACACACACACACGTAAATGGAATAAAAGTTTTTAAATAAAGTTGGGGCTGGAGCAATGGCTCAATGGTTAAGAGCACTGGCTTCTCTTGCAGGGGACCCGGGTTCCATTCCCAGCACCCACATGGCAGCTAACTACCATCTGTAACTCCAGTTCTAGGGGATCCGATGCCCTCTTCTGACCTCTGCGGACACTGCATGACACAAGTGAACTTATACACATGCAGGCAATACACTCATACACCTACGGCACACCCAGCGGGTCCACCTGTTCATGTTACAGAAGAGAAAGCACTGAACTCTAAAAGTAGATTTTACAAGGAACGGCGGGTATGGTGGGGAGCTAGGAACAGACAGAGGGCCCAGAGGCAAGCGTCTTTTTTTACTTTATTTCCCTACTAGGAGCTTGTGGTGTGGTGGGTAGAGGGAGGCAGCCAAAGAAGGCAGAATTAGAAACACACTGGACACAGGGTCTATCAAAGGGGTCGGGCATAATAATGAAGTAGGTGCCACCATCTTTATGTCAGTCTCTTCCTGTCCCCGAAAAAGTTTTAACAGACTAAACAGAAAAATCTAACCACTCTTAAAGGAAGTTCATATTTTTCAGAAACGGACTCCATTCTATTCAAAGGACTTCAAAAGCACGAACATTTTGATGTATTTTTTAATTTTTATTTTATGTGTATGAGTGTATTGCCTGCATGCGTGTAAGTGTACCCATGTTGTACAATGCCCAATTCAAAGGACTTCAAAAGCACGAACATTTTGATGTATTTTTTAACTTTTATTTTATGTGTATGAGTGTATTGCCTGCATGCGTGTAAGTGTACCCATGTTGTACAATGCCCATGGAACTGGAGTTACAGACGGTTGTTAGCTGCCATGTGGGTGCTGGAATTCAACCCAGGACCTTCTGCATGAACAGTGTTCTTAATTGCTAAGTCCTCACTTTGATATATTCATCACAAATGCATTCCTTTTTATGTTAGATAATTATTTTATTTCTATTGTTGGCATTTATAAGCAGAAAGGATCCACCACATCCAGAGAGAGCTGCAAAATTCCACACTTCTGGTGACACCTCTCGTGTAAAAATATATGACAGCCGAAAGGACAGGAAAGAGGAGGGCACCACACCCGCATTAGGGCAGTTGCCACCATTTATCACCAAAGGTCCAGCAACCACCCCCACATCAGTGTCAGCCCTTCTGCTGACAGCATCCCCATCACCACAGCCTCAGTGGTATCACATCCCCGATGCTCCATCATCCTGGTGACCCTAGGAAACTGCCCGCCGACCAGTTCCACAGAAGTCCTATGTACAGTGCTTGGACTGAAAAGCAGTTACACAAAAGCTGGGGCCTCTAAGAAGGTTCAGCATGAAGTTCCTCGAGAAGTCGTTCTGGAATGGTCAGGCAAGCTGAGCAACAAACAGCATGTCCATCCATCAGCTGTAGAGGTGACGACCAGCCACGGGCACGCGTGAGCAGTCCCTTTCTGGAATGGTCAGGCAAGCTGAGCAACAAACAGCATGTCCATCCATCAGCAGTAGAGGTGACGACCAGCCACGGGCACGCGTGAGCAGTCCCCGGCTCCCTACGGCTCCCTTTCTGAGCCAGACTGTCCCTGCTGTGTCCGCCCTGCTGCCGTCTAGGAAGCAGCTGAATTCTCAGCTTCCCTGTCTTTTAAAGCACTCCCCACTCTTGTTCAAACTTACAGACTTGATTTCCTGCTCATAAAGTGTCAGGAATGCAAGGCATTTATATCTCTGACACACATGTCCGGGTCAGAATCTATCCCAGCTACCCGCTCCTCTGGTTCAAACCAGGTCCTACATGACTTGAGGCCTGATTATTCTAAATGCCATGGGAGGGAAAGATTGAGTTCTGCTCGGGAGGCAATTCTGGGCTTAGAATTCAAAACCATGCTTGCCACAAATCAGCATCAGCATCAAGTCAAACTCAACCACTTACACGGAATCACACAGTTAATACCTTGGATGGGTGGTAAATTTAACCACACCTGTGCCTCAGCCAGGTTCAGCTGCGCTCGGCAGACCACCGCCTTCTTTGCACGGGCGCTCACAAGGGACAAGGAGGCTGAGAGCTAACTTGTGACAATGAAGGCTAATCCTCAGTGTTGATCTGTGAAGTTCCCTCTCCCCGTTTCACAGCAGCATTGAGTTAAAAGGGACAACAGACAACAGCATCACATAAAAAGGAGCTTTAAGGTTTAGAAAGGGGATTAACGGTTGCCAAGGAGGACTGGGAAATGACGGCTCTTGTGCACAGCAACAGCGTCTCTTCCAGAGGTGGTGGGACTGAACACCACTAACAGTTCTAAACGTGCTGGCAGACACCAAAATACACACTTTAAAAGGGTTAATTTTATGATATATAAATATCTTGTGTTTTTTTAAAAACATTTAAAACTATATATTTATTACGTGCACGAGTGTTTTGTGTCCACGTCTGTAAGTACGCTGTATATGCAATGCCCACAGAGGTCAGAAGGCATCAGATTCAACTGGAGTTATAGATGGTTGTTAGCCACCATGTGGGTACTGGGAACCATCCCCGGGTCCTGTGCAAGAGCAGCCAGTGCTCTTAACCACTGAGCGATCCCTCCAGGCCCGCCCCGTTTTTTTCAAATTAAAACAGGACCCTGTTAATAGTATGTTACACAGAGCTGTTTTCTATACAGGTCTTCCCAGGGAAAGAAGCAAACTTTTAAGACGTCAGCAGGAGATGAAGACTGGCCTGCTCTAAATTCCTTCCCAAGGACATGTCAGGAGGGTTGGAAGCTGAGGCTGCAGCAGTCATTCACTATTTGAGAACACACACATTTCTGGCAAGGCTCATTAGAGAAAACAGCACTGTCTGAAACCCTGAATCAGCGGAAAGGATTAACCTGTGGAAGCCTAGCATCATGGCTCACACCTGTAATCCCAGCACTCAGGAGGCTGAGGCAGGATTACAGCGAATTCAAGGCCAGCCGGGGTGCTACACAAGACCCTGTCTCCAAGGGGTATCTGGCTAGCAAGGCTTATCAAGACTTGCCTTCAGCTAAGGCTTCCCAGCAGTTCTAAGCTCTAGACGGGGTTGTCCAATAGTACAGATTACATTGGGCACGAGTTCAGAACTGAAGACAGAGGACAGGCTATATCCAATATTGCCTCTGAGAACCATGTTGCTGGAAGACCTAGCATGGCAGGTCTCCTGACAGTGTGGGTAAAACCAAGAACCAGAGGAGCCACACATCACGGAAAAGCCTCACACACCCGTCCATCCGACACACCTCCAGGCTTTTCCTCGTACTCTTTGTAGCATCATCTCAGCTTCTATTTTCCAACCCTAAATCCTAAAAGCCTTTGATTGAAGCGGTGGAACGGCATCTTCCCTATGCATTCCCCCAAGAGGCCAGGATGGAGGCAGGGGGCAGTGCACAAGCCGGGACACTAGTCACAGCGCACGAAGGGTCAACCAGACAACAGGCAGACAGCGGAGATAAGCAGGTTCCCTGTGAAATCTCATCCTTGGGTTTCGTCAGCCCATCCCCTTTTATCTAAAATGCCTGAAAATCTCAGTGTGCCTCAACACACCTCAGTTCAAAATGAAACCCGTATTTCAAAAGCTAGACAAACAGATCAAGGTTTACCTACAACTCTATGAACTCTCAAAACATGAACTGAAAACATCAGAAGTCCAGTGCAGGAGAACATCTTTTACTGTTTTGTGTATCTGTAGGACTGAAAAGTGGAAAATAAACCTAGGGGGAAAATGGATGATATTTTCATATCCAATATGGTTTCTAGCTGCTATGCTCAGAAATGGAGGAATTTTCATAATCTTACTTATTGGTATCCATTTAACATACTGCCATCCTCCCAACAGAAATCACTCAGTGGTCATTAATTATGAAAGCTGAACCATAAAATTTCTAGCATTCTTTCTCCATCCTACCAAAATTCCAATAGAATGGAAGGTAAATAAAAAAGGACAGGGACAGGAGAAATTTGTCAACTCCTCTGGGAAAACAAGCAGTGACTGATTCTTGAGAGCATTTTCTCCTGCGTTACCACCCATGTAGGGACTGTAACTGCAGATGAAGAAAGTTTGTTACCGTGACCCAAACAGAGATTTGACAAGCGTGCCCACAATGATGGGCCGAAGTGTCAGCCTGTTACCAACAGCCTTCTAGAGAATCCCAGAACTTTCCACAACAGCACTCATGGCTGCTAAGGAAACACAAGATGATATAACTCAAAATCTCCAGCCATAAGAGGGAAACCAGTTTCCCAAAATAAGAAAGTTCAGGTAAAAGTGTACTTGACCATGACTGCAGGGAAACGTCATAATCAGGGAAAAGTTTATGTGATAACCAACACAACTCCATACATGGTCTTAAAAATATTACCTTGAGGCCAGGCATGGTGGTGCATGCCGTTAATCCCAACAGTAAGGAGGCAGAGGCT